CTCTCATGTGATCATTTAAATGTGACTTTTGGGTACATCTGTATCCACAGAGCTCACAGGCAAAAGGCTTCTCTCCTGTGTGGACTCTCATGTGATAGTTTAAACTTGCCTTATGGGTACATCTGTATCCACAGAGCTCACAGACAAAAGGCTTCTCTCCTGTGTGGACTCTCATGTGTGTGTTTAAATTTGCCTTTTGGGTACATCTGTAGCCACAGAGCTCACAGGCAAAATGCTTCTGTCCTGTGTGGACTCTCCTGTGTGTATTCAAATGTGCCTTTTGGGTACATCTGTATCCACAGAGCTCACAGGCAAAAGGCTTCTCCCCTGTGTGGACTCTCCTGTGTGTATTCATATGTGCCTTATGGGTACATCTGTATCCACAGAGCTCACAGGCAAAAGGCTTCTCCCCTGTGTGGACTCTCATGTGATCATTTAAATGTGACTTTTGGGTACATCTGTATCCACAGAGCTCACAGGCAAAAGGCTTCTCTCCTGTGTGGACTCTCATGTGATAGTTTAAACTTGCCTTATGGGTACATCTGTATCCACAGAGCTCACAGGCAAAAGGCTTCTCTCCTGTGTGGACTCTCATGTGATAGTTTAAACTTGCCTTATGGGTACATCTGTATCCACAGAGCTCACAGACAAAAGGCTTCTCTCCTGTGTGGACTCTCATGTGTGTGTTTAAATTTGCCTTTTGGGTACATCTGTAGCCACAGAGCTCACAGGCAAAAGGCTTCTCCCCTGTGTGGACTCTCCTGTGTGTATTCAAATATACCTTTTTAGTACATCTGTATCCACAGAGCTCACAGGCAAAAGGCTTCTCTCCTGTGTGGACTTTCATATGACGGGTTAATTTGGACTTTTGGCTAAATCTTTTTCCACAGTCATCACAACTAATTGATTTCGGTTGTTTCTGGAGTTTTCTGCATGAGCCTCCATGTTGCTTCTCTTTCACACATTTTGTATTAACCGAGCACTCTGAAGACTTTACTGCTGAATGACTTGTCACTCTCACATGTTCCTGAAGAGACCACTTGTGGAGGAACCGTATACCACACACAGGGCAGCTAAATGATTTGTTGATGGTCTTAATATCTGACTCCGAAGACTTGTTCTCATTACAGTCATGGTCTCCGTTTCCAGTTTCAGGCCCTGAGTCTGAACGCTCAGAGTCTAGATTCAAATCATCTTCATCTTCTCCACTAACTTCAATCTCTGAAGAATCGGATGTCTTTTCATTAGGGTCCAGATCTAGGTTCTTGATAGTTTCTGCTCCTCCACCAACTTTTGCTGTCATCTGCCCAGCCAAGCTGCTGGTTGGGACACCTCCGTCTTTCATTTGATGGTTGTGGAAATGTAAGAGCAGAGGTTTCTCATGCGTCTCTTCTCTCTTCCTTGAAACTGCAGTGAACCAAGCAGAAATATATAAAAGAAAAATATTCAGTAAAAAAACAAGAAAAAATACCTAGGCGTGTTTTTGCAATCAGTAATATACATAACCAATGTTGGTAAACACATTACTATTCATGGTAATGCATTACTTTAACAAATAACTATGAATCTAATGAGTTGCTTTTAAGTACAGACATCACTATGCGATTAGTAGAAGGAAAGAAACGCTATCTGCAAATTCTGATTAACGCCTCTCAGAGCCGATCAAACCAGCCATCCGTCGCTGCTACAGTGGAGCCTAGAGATACCCTGACAGCAGCATCACGTCGGCCCCTCCCTTCCTTTCCCTAACACTGTAGACGCGCAGCGGCAAAAATGTAAACAAACATATCTGCCGAACCTTTACTCTGTGAGAGTGCTGTAAAGTTTGTGTCCTACAATGAAATCTCGGCGCGGAGGAAGCTCGTTAAAATGCGTCAAAACAGTAAATGTAATACGTGTTTTAAGAAGAAACTGTGGGTGGAAAGAGGTGAGATTGTAAGGCTCGCTGCAGAAATACAAACACAGAGCATCAACCCATAAAATATTAATGAGCATCATGCTGCTAGATCAGCAGCTTGTGATGACAGTTAGTTCTGCTCACTAGGTCAGCTGACCTTAATCCACAAGATGGGACATATGGCACTAGAATTCCAGATAAAGAGCTAGGAGCAAGGCCATTTAAACATTTGTAGGCCAGAACCAAAATCTTAAATTGAACACAGAACTGAACTGGGATCCAAGACAGACAGGCAACTACTGGAATGATATGATCAAATCGACCAGTGCCAGTCTAAAGACGGGCTGCAGTATTTTGAACTAGCTGCAGCCTAGCAATACATCCATAATCAACACCCAAGTAAAGACAATTGTAGTAGTCTAAACAAAATGCATTAAATGCATGAATAAGCTTCTCAAAACAATTCCTTATCAAAAAGACTTATGAAGATATTTAGGCCCAGCCGCTCATCACAGGATCGTCGGCTAACAGTGCCTACACCACGCATAGGACAATCCAGACTTTTCTCATGCATCATTCCACAAATGTGGAATGACCTTCCAAGCACTATCCAGAACTGCGGCTTCCTTTTCAATTTTCAAGAGACTCCTGAAGACCCTGCTCTTCAGAGAGCATCTTCTTAACTAGCACCCTCCCTGCACCCGTCCCCCCTCTCTACTGTCCACTCCTTGTTCCCTCCTCTCCATGACTGATGTCAATGATTGTTGTTGTTATTGTTGTTGTTAGCCTCAAGGGCAAAATGCCGATTATCACTTGTAAGTCGCTTTTGACAAAAGCGTCTGCTAAATACATAAACATAGGAGAAAAAAGCATACTTGAACCACATTATTGACTTGAACATCAAATTTAAGCTGAGAATCATTCTTAACACCCAAATTAGACACAACATCCTTTACATCATATGAGAATGAGTAACTACAGGAGCACCACTTGGTGCAAACATAATAAACTCAGTCTTAGACTCACTAATCTGGAGAAAATTACAACCCATCCACAATTATTAACCTCACGAAGACAACTCAGAGCTAAATCCTTAGCTTTAACAGAAGCATAGACCTGACAGTCATCAGCATAAAGATGGAAGTCAAGCTCATATTTCCTAAAGATGGCCCCAAGAGGGAGCAAATATAAAATGAAAAGCAGAGGACCTACTACAATGCCCTGTGGGACCCCATATTTCAGGGAAGCATACCTTGAGCAGAAGCTACCAATCTTAACAGTCACATACCTGTCAGACAGGTAGGAACTCATCCAGAAGAGCGCTGAACCAGAGACCAAAAAAATTCTCCAGTCGATTGAGAAGTATAACATGATCAAGAGTATCAAAAGCAGCAGTCAGATCTAAGAGTAATCAGTATATTGGTAAATATCATTGAACACTCTCACAAGAACAGTTTCAGTACTATGCTTTGCTCTAAAAGCTGATTGAAAAACTTCTTAAATTTGTTTTTATCTAAATGGTCTGACAATAGCTTACAAATGACTTTCTCAAGAACCTTAGCAAGAAATAGCAGCGCAGAAATAGGTAGATGATTGGATAATACCGAGACTTCAAGACCGGGTTTCTTAAGAAGGGGTTTGATTACAGCTCTTTTCAGACTCTTTGGAACTTGCCCACACTGCAGACTAGAGTTGATTACATTATGAACCATATTTGAAATAGCTGGCCAAACATTTTTAACAATAGAGGATGGAATGATGTCGAGGGCAGAGCTGGATGGTTTCATCCTTCCAACAATTTCATCCAACATATCTGGGGGTACAGAGTCAAAATAATTTAAAGTAGTTGAATCAAAACAGATTTCTTCATCAATAAAACTAAATTGCTGGGAATTTGAGCTTGAATAGTTTCAGTTTTGCCTATAAATTATGTCAGAAACCTCTCAGCAGTAGTCGAGGAGACTTTAAGTCCACCTGCACACAAAGGATTTCAAATCTCATCCACGGTAGAAAATAGTACTCTTAGGTTATGCTCATTAGAGCTAATAATACCAGATAAAAAAGTGGATTTTGCCTTTTTTACAGCCATTTGATAGGAACACCAAGCAGACCTCATGTCTTCAAATGAGGGCTGTGACCTAGATTTCTTCCACTTCTGCCCACATTTCCTGCATTAGGTGAAGATTCTCTGTCATCCTGGACATGATCATCCTGAGCTTTAATATAAAAACAGCTGGACATTTCTGGTTATCTTGAAGACGTTTTTCTTCTCATCCTAGAGGCTTCTTCACATTGGTTGTGAGTAGAAGGCTGTGAGTTATGGTCAGAAATAAACACACTGATGGTCTTTCTTTAGTTTCTCTTTTGAAAACGTTTTAGTCTAAACAAAGGTGATGTTATTGTTCATAGAATTAAAATTCAAGTCCAAGTAGGACCTGTGGTTAGTTGGCTCATTTGAAAAAAGTAATGTTTTTGACCTTGAAAGAATCAGGAATCATTAGGAACTGGAATCGAAACAGGGGAATCGTTCAAATTCAAACGATGCCCAACCCAACTTTTTGTCTGAAGTGATTAACGTAACTGCAGTAAACGTTGACAGATAAAAATAGATTGTGACCGGATTTTTTTAGACCCTGCTGGGGTCACTCAGTGACGCACCCACTGACAACCCAACTCTGGTAATTGGCAGCTCCATAGTCAGAAACGTGGCAGAGACTCCAGCAACCATAGTCAAATGTTTACCCGTGGCCAGGCGGGAATGTGGAAACGGACCTGTGGCTATTCCAAACACAGGCGCCATCTTGTTAGCGGCCAGAAGCAGAGTATGGGTGGGATGAGGCTGGCCCATACTCTGGAACAGCAGCTGCTATGTGTGGACTCTCATGTGATTTGTTTATTTACATTTGTAGTAAACCTTTCTCCACACTCATCATGACTAAATGATTTAGGTTTCTTCTGGACTTTCCTGCACGAGTCTACATGTTGCTTCACTCTAACACATTTCTTATGAACCAAACAGCCTGAAGACCTTATTGCTGGATGACTTGTCTCCCTCACGTGTCTCTGGAGAGACCACTTGTGAAGAACTTGTTGACAGACTTACCATCTGACTCAGAAGACCTGCTCTCATTCCAGTCATCATCTTCATCTCCAGTTTCAGACCCAGAGTCTGACAGCTCAGAGTCCTGATTCACACCGTCATCATCATCATCATCATCATCATCATCATCATCATCATCATCATCATCTCCACTAACTTCAGTCTCTGAAGAATCAGATGTTTGTTCATGAGGGTTCAGATCTGGGTTCCTGCTAGTTCCTGCTCCTCCACCAGTTTCTGCTGCCATCTGGTCAGCTGAGCTGCTGGTTGGAACATCTCTGTCTTCTATTTGCTGCTGATGAAGCTGTGAGACCAGAGGTTTCTCTTCATCATCCTCACTCTTTATAGAAACAGCAGTAACAGGAAACCCGACAGCTTCAGTCTCCTCCTTCAAACAGAGATGCTCTCCCTCCAGACTGGTCCAGAGCTCCTCCTGTTCCTCCTTTATGTGGAGGTGTTCTGGGTCCTGCTGGTCCACACCAGCACTCTGTTCTTCAGGAGCTTCTTCTTTAACCAGCACCAGCTGTGGAACATCTGTAGGAAACACAGACACATGATGTTACAGACCACCATACCTTTATATGTACACCATGAGTGATACTGGCTACATGATGTGGGAAAAAGGAACAAGAACATGAACTTCATTTAGATAAAAACAGATTTCTACTTTAGGAACAATAAAAACTTCCATCACAATCAGCGTGTTTGTTTCTGACCAGAACTTCTAAGCCTCCTACTCACAACCCAAGCTTTAGATCTGAAGCTTATGTGAGGAGAAACGTCTCCAAGATAAAATCAGCAACTATTCAGTCAAAAGGAAAATGAATAAACACTTAGATGTAGCTGCTGTCAGTAACTATCTTTCACTTTTAAGCTCTCAGCAGGCTAGAGCACTACAAAGCAAAGGAACCTTTCTAATTAGCATTTTGGGAGATTTAGTGTTATTATTATTATTAGTAGTAGTAGTGGGTTACTTAGTGACTGAGCAGTGGGCGGAGCCTGTTGTTTTCTACTCATTGTATTATTTTTCAGCGTTTTATTGTGATTCCTTTCGTGACCTCGGTCTGGGACACGTGCTGTATGAATAAACTTGGTTCTTCTTCCACCACAGAGAAAGGCTGCTCTTCCAGCATCATGAACTTCCTTATGGTCCGGTTATTAGTAAGTAAGTAAGTAAGTAAAAGTTTATTTATAGAGCGCCTTTCACAGATATAAATCACAAAGCGCTCTACAACATGATAAAGATCAGGGCAAATACCTCTAACCAATAAAAACATCAGAAAAACAATAGCAGTGATAAACGTAGAAAATAAAATCATGAGTATAAACAAAGTGAAGGTGTGAACAAGAACAAAGCCATCATTCTGAAACATTTAGGGAGGGAACGCCTGGATGAAAAGGTGAGTTTTTAGATGATTTTTAAAGACCTCTACAGTGTTAGAGAGACGGAGATTTGAAGGTAGACTGTTCCAAAGTCTGGGTGCAATAGTCTGAAAGGCCCTGTCCCCTTTGGTTTTCAGTCTGGTTCGAGGAACAGCCAGGAGGCTTTCAGATGTGGATCTAAGGTTCCGAGAGGTGGTGTGTGTGGATAAAAGCTCAGATAGGTAGCTTGGAGCCTGGTTGTTAAGAGCTCTATAGGTCAGGACTAAAACTTTAAACGAAATTCTATATTCTACCGGGAGCCAGTGGAGGGACTGTAAACCTGGAGTGATGTGAGCTCGTCTGCTGGATTTGGTTAGGAGTCTGGCTGCTGCATTTTGGATGGCTTGAAGGCGTGAGAGGGAGGTTTTGCTGAGACCAGTAAAAAGAGCGTTACAGTAGTCTAAGCGTGATGACACAAAGGCATGGATGATTATTTCCAGATCTGCAGTAGAAACCAGTTTACGGACTTTTGAAATGTTTCTCAGTTGAAAGAAACAAGAGCGGGAGATGTTTTGACGTGTGAGTAAACTTAAAGCTGGATCAAAAATAACTCCCAGGTTTCTAATGTTGGCCTTGGCTGATGGGCATAAAGAGGCAATTTCTTGCTCGATTTTTGGCTGAAGTTCCGGGGGTGCAGCGATCAGGGTCTCTGTCTTGTTAGCATTGAGGACAAGAAAGTTGCTGGACAGCCAGTTACTGATCTGGGTCAGGCAGAGTACAAGTGTGGCCAGCCTGTCCAACTGGTGTGGCATGAAGGACATATAGAGCTGAATATCATCAGTGTAGATGTGGTAGGAGATGTCTGGGAAAGACTGAATGATGCCAGCTAGGGGAAGAATATAGAATGTGAATAGTAGAGGCCCTAGAACTGAACCTTGTGGGACCCCGCATGTTAGAGAGGCAGTGTCTGAGGAGAAGGTTTCTGACTTCACTGTGAATGTTCTGTTAGTGAGATAGGAAGAGAGCCAGTCTAGAGCAGAACCTGAAATCCCAGCCAAGGCCTTTAACCTGTTTAGTAGAACGTTGTGGTCTACAGTGTCAAAAGCTGCACTGAGGTCTAGCAGGACCATGACAGAGCATTTCCCTGCATCAGCAGCCATCAGGAGGTCATTATGCACCCTTACTAGAGCAGTCTCAGTTGAGTGCTGCTTCAGAAAGCCAGACTGGAAGGGGTCAGAGATCTTTGACTTAGAAAACCAGGATCTGAGTTGGGTTTCAACAACCTTCTCAAGTACTTTACTGATGAAAGGTAGCTTAGAAATGGGCCTAAAGTTACTGGTGGAGCTGGCGTCAAGGTTGGGTTTCTTTAAGAGAGGAGTCACTACTGCATTTTTAAAGTAAGATGGAACACAGCCTTGGCTCAGTGAGCTGTTGATCATAGTCAACAGAGATGGACTGATAGAGGCAAGGGACCCGACTAAAACAGAGGGAGTTAAGATATCTGATGAGCATGATGAGAGTTTCATCTGACTGATTATTGAGGTTAAGTCATTTAGTGTAATAGGGGAGAAGGAGGTGAAAGACTCGGAGCACTGGGGGGCCTCCCCTCCTGAGGGGGCGAGGGCTGGTGGAATGCTGGATCTCAGATTCAGCACCTTGTTTTCAAAAAAGTGGAGAAATCTGTTACAGTCATCAGCTGAACATAGCTGAGCCTGCTGCGGAGGAGAAGAAACGATGCTGGAGATGGTATCAAACAAAACCTTAGGATTATTCTTATTTTGACATATGAGGTTGCTGAAGAAAGAAGACCTGGCATTTTCTACAGCTTCGTTGTATGACTCAAGAAGTTCTTTAAAATATTCGCGATGAACAACCAGACCTGTCCTCTTCCACCGTCGTTCCGCTTTTCTATAGGAGCGTCTAAGTTCAAGAATCTGGTTGTTCAGCCAGGGTGAACTAGAGGCACTGGAACTGCGGCTGGTTTTGTAAGGGGCGACCTGATCTAGAATTTTGAGGCAGTGATCATTAAATGAGTTGGTAAGGAGCTCTACGTCATCAGAGGAAGGAGGTACAAAGTCAAAGAGGGAGGAGAAATTTAAAATGGTAGAACTGTTGATAATACGTCTTTGCTTAGCAGAGACTGGTAAAAGAGATTCAGAATTTAGGCTGATATGAAAAGAAACTGACTTATGGTCACTGAACACAACATCATTTATCTGCAGCTCATCAACAAGAAGTCCGTAGGAAAAGACCAGATCCAGGGTGTGGCCTGTTCTGTGAGTGGGACCAGACACGTGTTGAGAGAAATTAAAAGAATTCATCATGTTTAGGAACTCCCTAGTGGAGCTGTTAGATAGATCCTCAGCGTGGATGTTGAAATCTCCAACAATGATTATCCTGTCTAGTTTAATAGTTGAAGATAGGAGATCCTGAAAGTCAGACAGGAAGGAAGAAGTAGATCCAGGTGGGCGATAGACCAGAATTCCATAAACTGGTTGAACTCGACCAATTTTAATCATGATCATCTCGAATGAGCTGTAGGAGTTTGAGGATATAATTTGGCACGAAAAGTGTTTCTTAAAGATAACAGCTGTTCCTCCACCACGGCCTGTGGTTCGTGGAGCAGAGAAGAAAGCGCAGTCTTGAGGACAGAGCTCACGGAGATGAGTGACGTCATTTTCGCGCTGCCACGACTCGGAAATCCACAAAAAGTTTAATTTTTTGGTCCAGAACAGATCGTTGAGGATGTGAGACTTGTTGGCGATGGAGCGCACGTTAATCAACATCACTTTCGCGGAGGAATCTGGCGATGTGTGTGCCGCGGGCTCGATAATGGCGGGCAGCTGGCGGGCTAAGCTACGTAGCGACTCCAGGCTACGCCCGCGGAGGTTCTTTGTCTCCCACGCCTTCAGGTAGCGTCCCGCATCAGGGGCTCCATTTAGCAGCGAGATCAGCCCAACTCCGTTAAGTTTCTGTTGGATCCGCCACAACACAGCCTCTTTTCTTCATGGTCTCTATTCTGTTCTTTTTCTCGTTTTTTCTTTATTCGGTCCTTTCATTTTTTCCTACTCTGCTCTCTTACTCTTCATTGATATGAACCAACAACTGGAGAGGGGTTCTTGAGTGACACGCGACGCGGAGCAGCGATCAGGCAGAGCTTCGCCTCTCAGGATCTTTCGAAGCTGAACGAAGAAGCCAGCTCTCTTCCCCCGTTTCCTCTTCCATGGCCTCCTGGGCAGCGGCAGGCCGACAGGTAACAGAGGGCCGAGATCTGGGTTAATGCCAGGTTCCAGAGGCGGTGGGAAAGCGGGTCCGGTATCGGAGTTCTGGAGGTTGATCATCGTGGACCTGATCGACAACAGTAAGTCTCAATCATATGTTAGCAGGGACTCCGCACCAGATAGAGAAAAAACAATAAAAAACAACAAATAATCAAAACAGATCAGGAGCCTAGCAGACGCACAGCCACTCATGGGCGCCATCTTGCTTGTGTTAAGCACTGTTATCAATTATCGTAGGTTTTCCTAATATCGTGCAGCCCTAGTTTAAAGTTACTTTTTTCGTAACGTACGTGGTGCATTTGACAAGACAGAGCTGAAAACGGCTCGTGCTGCATCGGTCACTGCCTCCGCTCCAGTCGGGTTTTTTATTTTATTTATTATTTTAACTCTCTCTCTCTCCCCCTCTCTCTCACACACACCTCAATCAACATTGTTTTGTTTAATTGTGTGTGGGGAAAATGCCAACAACGTTAGGAAAAAAATCTGTTTAATCAAATTAAAATGAAATGGTTCTAGTGTTTCATATTTCCTAGTTCCTACTGCATGAGTTCAGATTAATAAATTCATAAACTTAAATATTAATGTTCTGATTTTACTGAAAAACTTGTTCTGTATTAGGGTTGTCACGGTGTGAAAATTTTACCTCACGGTTATTGTGACCAAAATTACCACGGTTTTCGGTATTATTGCGGTATTTTTTTTTTAAACGTGTTACACTTTCACACAATTAAATAAACCCTGTATGTCAGAAAATATTGTCCTCAGTTTGTCTAATTTTTGCCTAAAATGTGTTATTTTGTAATTATGTTGTTTATTTGTTTACATTTTTTTCCTTTAGTCTTTAAAATACCAATATTTGCCCATAACATCTTATGTTTTGTCTGTTTGATGTCATCATTTTAAAAAAATTAGATCAGATGATACTCAGTACTCAAGTAGCCTTCTAATCAGATACTTTTTTACCCTTACTTGAGTAATAAACCCTATATCAGGAACATATCGTCCTCGGTTTGTGTCCTTCCAGTGAGCTTTGCAGATGTGGGAAAATGTCATCAGGCAGTAATCATTGTTAAATTCATAATTATTCTCGGAGAGAGACCAACTCTTATCTGCCCCTGGGAGCTCCGTAATGCATAGCGTCATTTCAAAATTGGGGTGTCCGCGACACGGTTTATATGCAGGTAGCGGCG